TAAGAGCTTAAGTGAGATTGTAACAAAAAGCACCCTAGCTTGGAAGGTTAGGAACTCAACTAAATGACCAAGAGATCCTTGTTTCAAACCCCATGGTGGTATGCTTTTGGAAAAAAATTGCAAAAAAAGAACTGGTCTAACCGGTCAAACCGATCGGTTTGTCTAAAAGGGTGACATATTATCTCGCCACATGTCGCGCTTTAATTTTGCCAAATGTTATCACATCAGCTCGCCACATGTCGCGCTTTAGCTCTGCCAAATGTCACGTTCTTATAGCTCCGACTCTGCTTTATATATATAAAGGATTTGTGATGGGAGAAGGAAGATCAGTTTTCTCACCTATATTAGAGAGAAAACTTTTCATGACTAATTTTCCCTCCTCCCCCAGTTTTGCATCAAAACAAACAATAGAAAATTCTTTGAAATAGAAATATGTGTTTTCTCACTTAAAAATTAGGATTATGATTATAAATGATTGAGATTAGGATTAGGATTATAATTGGAATTAAGATTAGGATTAAAATTAAGATTTTGATTAGGATTAGAATTAAGATTATACTTAAGATTAAGGTATTAGAATTAAAATTATAAATATGATTAGCATTAGACAAATTAGCTTGGATGAAAGGATCTTTTTCTAGATTAACTTTTAATCCTAACAAGTGCAATACAATAAGCACTGGCCCAACCCAATATTCGGGGCTTGGATCAAAACCAAAACCAGAAAGTCCAGAAGCTTCCATTTGTTACCTTCATCTTCCCGTCTCTCACTCTATATACACAGCTGAAGCCGCTTTCCAGTACCTTCTCGACACACCTCGATCGGCTTATACATCATCAGCATCAATTTCTCACTGTTTCGTCTCTCTGCAACTAGTTATTGAATCCAGATTTGGCCGATAACCGAAACGATCGTCGGAAAAAATGGCCGGAGCGCGCGCAGCGGAGGAGCTCGCAATGGACCTGGATGAACTGAAAGAGCTTCGAAGGCTTGCCAAGAGGCCGCACGTTCTCTCCCTCATTTCGTCTGAGATTCGCAACTTGGAAAAGGTCATTTTCTAGCTCCTGTAATCTGTAGGGATTGCGATTTATGGTTTTACTGTTTTTTAAGTATTTCAGTTGTTAGTTTAGTCAGAAAGATCTTCAAATATATATTTATGTGTTTGAATATCTTGTTTTCTTTTGTTATTGTGTTGCAAATATAAATGTTGATGCGATGCTTCTTGTTAAAATATTAGAACAGTTTAAGGAAAACCTAAACACTTCTTTTTCTTCATTATTTGTCCTAAATTAATTGATCACTTATAATATTATTATTCAATACAGTGATTATTATGAATTTTCTAAAATATACTCCCTCCGTTCCACAAAACCCTTCTCCTTTCGTTTTTTTTCAATTCCCTAAAATACTTCCACTTTCTATTCAAAAACCACTTTTACCCCTACTTTTTCATACCCTATATATCACATTATACTTTTTCACTAATAACCAGACTATCACATCTTACTTTTACCCATCACATCAAGGGCAAAATTGGAAAGTCAACCAAAGATACACTTTCTTTATTTTGGCCCAAAGTCAAAATAGGAAGGGTTTAAAGGAAAGGAGTGAGTAATAGATTTACGGTATGAACATATGAATTCCGGAGGACTTATTTTACATTTTAAACTCATTTTTAAATTAATAATTAAAGAAGACAATTAAATCCGAAAAGAGAGAGTTTAAAATATTTCTGAGAATGGGATCATTAGGCCTTAGACATGGGTTTTCAAAATGACACTTCCCTGTTAAGCTATAGAATGGAATTTAACCTTACCGTGAGTTAATCATTGAAATGAGACCAAATGTGACTTTAACATTGTTGTCTGTGGTAGTTTCTTCATACTTGGGTTGTTTTATGCATTGGTGAAACTTGGGTTGTGAAAGTAGTCTTTCTGTTCTATGCGAATTTTCTACGGGTGTTGAAATTCTGTGTACGCCATTTTGCCTCATTGTTGTCTAAACTGAATCTCCTTTGCTGAAGCAGCTTTCAAATGAGGCGAGCTCAGTTCCTCAGGTGCCGACCCCAATTTCAACTGCACCAAAAGCTGTCCCTAACCCAGCACTGAGCTATGCAACACTTGCAACATTTAGCTGGGATCAGGACAGTGACAAAGTAAAGGTAGGAGATTGATTAAAGGCGTCTTGATTCTCTATACTAAGTTATATATTCATTATAACTAGAGTTTTTGTGTTAAGTGGTTATCTTTTGTGACTAGACAACACATTCATTGTGTTGGATGGATAGAACTTCAGGGAAAAACAAAAGATATTTCTTTTTTTGTTTCATGTTTTTCTTTTTGATATTTTCTGCAAGTGCTATAAAAGATATGTATTACGAACATCTTTGTAAAAGTTTATTTTTTATATTTATTCGTACTCAGTATATACTTATTTTCAAGACTGAAATTTAAATATGTACAGGACATAGAAGATAGTAAAGCATATTTCATCTATCTTTATTTTTCAGGATCAAGCATAACATAAGTAATAGCTGTTCTTAGCATTTCCCCTGTTTCCTAGCATTTTTTCAGTTGCAAAGGCCTTATTAATTGGCATCTGGGAGAGCTTCAAAAATAATTTGCTTTTGAGAATGCAGTTTTAGGCTCAACTTCATTAGTAGCACAAAGTTAACTGTGTGATTATTTGAATTTTGTTTTCTAGATTTATCTCTCCTTGGAAGGAGTTGATCAGGAGAAAATGGAGACAGACTTCAAAGAAATGTCTGTTGATGTTAAATTCCATGGCGTGCATGGAAAGAACTACCGTTTCTCTGTACCAAAGTTGAACAAGGAGATAGTTCCTGAGAGGTGTAAGGTAATGGTAAAACCCACTAGGGTAGTACTCACCTTGCCAAAAGCATCTCAAGGAAACTGGCTTAATTTGCACTACAAAGAGGACAAGGTAAATGGCCTTTAACCATACCTCTAAGCGCACCAATATGAGGTTATATTAATCGTGTGTTTTTTTTGAAGTTTTATAAAATTTTCTGCCCCCTTGACATGCAGTTTAAGCCAAGTGTTGACAAAGAAAAGGATCCCATGGCTGGAATAATGGATTTGATGAAGGTAATTCTTTTTTTTGTTGTTGTTGTCAAAACATTAATCTTTTTTTTCTCAGATCGATCTACACGGCTTATATTACATATACTTGTTTTTTAATGTTCAGAATATGTATGAGGATGGGGACGATGAAATGAAACGAACCATCGCAAAAGCCTGGTCAGATTCTAGATCTGGAAAAGTAGCCGATCCCCTCAAAGGTTACCCATGAACTTGAGGAGAGTTAGTTTTTTGAAGGTCCCCTGCAGAGTTTTGTGGCATTTAAAGATGTTAGCTTATCTTGTTGTTCTGTCCTTGCTGCTTTTGACCAACAATGCCAAGTACTCTCATTGAGATGGTTTGTGTTGCGCTCTTTTTTGTGCTAAAACTTTCAGTGGAATTCTATTTTTGGCAATTGACTCAAACAATGACTTCACTTTAATTCTTGACCATTAGATTATGTGTAGTCATGGAGCCTCCTCATCAAGGACCATTAGATAATTATTTGTAGTCATGGAGCCTCTTGAGAGGGACGATATCCACCATGTGGGAGCCACCTCATCAAGGGGCTCCATGACTTCAATAAGTAAACTGGCGAGATGTAAAGATATGATTACGTGAAGCGGTCTGGTTTCGTTGCTATTGGACAATGGTGCCATTGACTTTTTGGATCCATTCGTAAAATGAATGATTTTTATCTTCTCTAACCACTGTGAATCTCCCACCCTTGCCCTCCAACCTAGCCGCCCACTTTATGTTCATAGGAATGTGTCTAGGAAAATATGTTATCAATACTTGTGTCTCTACTTTGGCCTTGTTTGGATGTTGGCTGTCGGCTGTCCCATATGTGTTGTTTGGAAAACACGTGAGAGGCTTATAAACCAAATGAGCTCTATCAACGTATTCTTTTAGGATGAGTTCTCTTGGTTGGTCTGTCCGAATTGCTTTAATAAAGAGACCCCCAACCAATCCTTGGAGAACCGATGCCACCTTTGAAAATAAAAATCTTTCCTCTTGAGGCAGCCAAACTGGTTCACAAGCAGAATTCAACTGATGCTCTCATGCCAAAACCAGCCACAGAATAGAAACCACGCGGTGGAAGTTACCACTTACGATTGGATAAGAGTCGGGGAAATGAGCGATAAGACACTCAGATTAAATTACACTCATATTAAGAGGGTGTTTGGGGTTGCATTTGAAAATAATTTCTAGCTTCTACTTTACTAAAACACAATTTTAAATGTTTGTTAATCTGCTTTAGCTTATAAATTATGGCTTTAGAAGTTAAAATTAAGGTGTAGAAGTGCTTTCTAGCAAAGCTACAAAAACATGCTTTCTCCTAAATTATGACCTCTACTTTTACATAACTCAACACATTTCCAAACACCCTCTAAAAGTTGAATCCAATAGAATATCTAATTCAACTTAATGCCTTGTTAAAACTCATTGTTTTGGTTATATTTACACCCATTTTGTTTGTGATAAAAGCACACAAGTATAACTAAAATGGATGGTTTCAAACTCATTGCTATAATTGGTATCAAAATGATACAACCCCATATTTAGAGGGTGCTTGAGACTAATTTTAAAAATGATTCTCAATTTTTGCTTTGAATCAAAACAATTTGGGATAATATTAAGCAATTTTTAATGACAGAAGCAAAAACAAATACCTTTAAGATAGCTTTTAGATTCTATTGTCAATATAATCACCTTTCAAAAAAAGGAAGCACAACCACACACCCACTTATTATCATATATCAACACTTAAAATCATATCCATAACAACCCTCTTAGCATCAAATACATGTCGACACTTGAAATAATAATAATAATAATAATAATAATAATAATAATAATAATAATAATAATAATAATAATAATAATAATAATAATAATAACTCAAGAAAAGGTCAAGTCTAGTACAACAATATTTCTTTACACTAGATGTCACAACAACAACAGCAACAACAACAACACCCCAGTACAAGAGAGTTGAATGCCTTTTTTTAGACTAGATGTCATACATTCAAGTAATGATAAAATTACACACAAACAAATTGAAGTCAAAGTACAAGAGAGTTGAATGCTTTCTACTGGAGTACTTGGCTGCCATAATCATCGTTGAACTTATCATAACGATGGGCGTGGAGATGAGCAGAAGGTCGCGTGTTCTTCAAGGCTACCTTAATATCGCCTTCTGTGATCGGTCCCACTTTTGGCAACTCTGCACGAAATAACGCCTTTTAGTGCAACAGATTGTAAAGAAAGAGATGGTATTTGAACAATAACAACTAGAGGCAGAACAAAGCAGTCAAGTACTTGTATGAGCTCAAGTGGAAAATAATTTTTGTTGTTTGGTTAAAAGAAAAGAAAAGTAGAAGGAAAAGAAAATGACAAACCAAAATGTACTAAGAAGATGAAAAACCAAATTCCTATCATTTTGGCAAGGAAAATGAGAGAAAACATTTTTTCTTTTCTTTTCCTTCCGAATTCCTTGAACCAAACATAGTGTTAAGTTTCATAGTTCCGTAAGAAGTGAGATTCATTATTGCATTAAATGAAATTTCATCATCCCATATGCCATCAGCTTCTCCTTGTGGAAGCATGATTTTGCTGCCTTCTTCAATGAGTTCAAGGACAAAAAGATGTGCTAAAATGATGCCTGGGTTTAAAAGCTTCTCTACATCAAAAGCACAATCCTTTATCCCTTCGTTGTTGCCTCAAGGAATCAGCCGTGTTTGGCTTAAGTGGCATTAATGAAGATGGAAGCATCTTTACCTTGTTCAGAAGTTCCTTTGTAGTCCTTTCCATCATGTACCACTTTCTCATATGAAATTAAAATTATTAGGTAGGATCTGGTTTGAGTGTGAGGTGGGTTTAGACTGGCTCGACTTCTCCAACTCCAAGGCCAAACTGGATGCTCGATACACCGTGCGAGGTTTGTGTAGTCTCAAAATATAAACCTTAATAATGACTAAGAAGCCCAAGAAAACTCTGAAAATATAAAGCTTAATATTTCTCCCCATTTCATACAGACGTGACTAGTGTTCATATATAGACCTTAACTCCATAACTTACTGGCTCCTGGAAATAACTGACTCCATAACTCTATAATTTGAGACTATAGCTCCGTTTTGCAACAACGTTAGAGTTTAGCGTTAGCGTTTTGAAAAAGTTATGTAACGGTAGACTTTAGCGTTTTCAAAATTAATCTACACCATTAAATTTTAATCCAAAACGTTGTTCCCAAACAAAGCCTATATTGACCAAGTCTTTAGGCCACTATACCAAAGACTTCATTAATTGAAATATTTAATAATAAGAAATAAACAACAATAAAATATAACTGGTTATTAATATAATATCCCTAATTAAGACTGGGTTAATGTCCACCACATTCTAGGATCTTATCAGCAGTTCCGTGGGGTCAATAATTGTCCCCAGTGATTCAAGCTCTGGGAAGTTTTGTTTTTTGTTTTCTCCGGGCATGCATATGTGACTTGAGAGGGCTTCTTATTTATTATTATTTTTCTTTGTGATAAAGTGACATGAGAGGGTTAAACGCATAAAAATGTCTCAAAATAATTTCTTTCTTCGTTTTTATGGTTTTCAATGCTTTTGGTAATCTCTCCTCTTCACAATGTGTCAAGCGAAAAGTCACCAAAATCATTGAAAAAAAGTGGGAATCAGAAAATGAAGGTTCATTTATTCGATTTAATGTTTATCTCTCTCCTTTCACGTGCTTATCGTGAACATTAATGCCTCGGAAATGCAATGTAGATCACAATTTGTCCATCGGACAAAAAAACATATTCCATAGAACCAAGATAAAGGAAAAGTTAAAACAAAGAGATGCTAAAATGTGATGGCATACCTTCCTCAGGCAACACCTCTTGCTTGTCTTCAAGTGATGCCATTAACCTTCTCAATGGCTGCATAGCTGCTTCCTTGCATAACAAACGTATATCAGAACCGGAATAGCCTTCTGTCTTTTCCACCAATAAGTCATATGGCAGAATATGTCCATCAGATGCTGATGGCAGTAATTCCTCAAACATGGCTTTCCTAGCTTCAGGCTCTGGTAGGGGTACTAAAATCTATCATCAAAGTAGATGGTAGAGTTTTAATGTTGCATTCATCGCAATCGTGTACTAAGCCAGAACATTTTATGAAGAAAATAATCTAAACCCTCAATACTTTTCACTTTACATTCAGGGTCCGTTTGGAAATCAGAAAATGATAGGGAAAGATTAAGAGACAATTTGGAAAGATAATAAATTATGGGGGAAAATTTAACATTGCTTCAGACTCAATAAGTTTATTTTTTGAAAGATAATATAATATGGAGTATAAAATGGTATAAAGAATAAGACATCCAAACATACGCAAGACTTTTTTTTTCATTTCCTTTGGATTCTCCGAGGTTAAATAGAGCATAAGAAAATAACTTCTCATTGAATCTTTTCTCCTTTCCCTAGCATCTTTTCGGTAACAAGCATACCCTATATGATATATTAAATGTGTGCAGTACATGAGATAAAATCAAGTCTTGTAAAAACCACAGATATATCTAATTAGATATATACCCGCTTCTCTAGACGTCGAAGCATAGCAGCATCTAGCTCCCAAGGAAGGTTGGTGGCCGCCAAAACAAAAACCAGTGCATCACTTCGCGTCAAGCCATCCATCTGCAATCTAATCCCATCATTATTCTTGAGAAGTAAAATACAAATTAAAGTTGCTTTTTTCTAAATTTTATGCATGAAAATGTATACATACACCAAAAAGTCCAACAAAATGGAATAGGTGGAGTGTTACCCTACAATAGCAACCTAAGATAATCCTGCTCCTGGTAAAAAGTCAGCTTTAAAGAATAATACAAGAGTTAAGTATGCCCTATTCGGCAACCAGCTAACAGTTTGTTAGTCAACTTGTGTATGTCCATTGTGTGGGTAACTATTTGTATCATCTGTTTTTGAAAAAAAATATTGTTTGGTTGAATGTAAGATGAACTGTATTGTTTGTATGCTTTAATGTAAGCAGTTGCAAATATAAAAATTTTGCTAACCAAAAGGCTTGTAAAACAAGCTTTTTGTAAGTCAAATACTTTACATAGCAACAAAAACTCTTTTTAACGAAAAGCACCCCAAAAAGTTAGAAGCCAAACACCCCCATGGTATAGCATTGTTTTGATAGAATGGGAAGATACATGCTAGACTTTCTAAAAACACCTTAAAAGTAGCTCCAATTGAGGAATATGATGGAATCACTCCTAGGCATCACCTGTATGAGCAACTCAGTTTTCAAGCGCCTGCTTGCCTCATGCTCACTTCGTGCTTCACCGCGTTGACTAATAATAGCATCGATTTCATCAAGAAATATGGTTGATGGGGCATTGTGTCTTGCAAGCTCAAATAACACTTTTATCAGTTTCTCAGAATCACCTGTATATTATAATAAATGAACACAAACCTTAGTGTATTCAAAGAAAAGCCAAAACACCCAAAAGGTATTCCAAGTGTAGAAGCATAAAATAGTTCAACTACTCTGTATTTTACACCGGAGTAACATATAGCACTATCATTATTGAATTAATTGCTTGTGCTACCATTTAATTCTCTAAATAATAATTTTAAAAACTTCTATAAATTTCACAGGCTGCAACGTACCACGCCATTTGCTAACGACAGATGATGCTGAGATATTGAAAAATGTTGTATTGCATTCAGTTGCAACAGCCTTAGCAAGCATGGTCTACAACATCAACAAAGCGATTGCTTTTACTATAAAATGACAAACTGTAGAAACTAAAAGTAACTAGTAATCAGCATCTTGATATCTAGACATACTTGACAAAAGAGATTAAGAGACCACAAACCTTTCCTGTTCCTGGAGGGCCAAAAAGAAGAATACCTTTCCATGGTGAGAGAAGACCGGTAAAGTACCTAAACAAAGAGAAAAGAAAAGATGCCCTGGTTATACAAGCACTTCATAATATTCTCTTGAAAAAACTGTGAACCATAAAATATAAATATGTAATCCAGTTTGCCAACAAAACTTACTTGGGATATTTTATTGGCATAACAACGGCTTCTTTAAGCAGGCGTTTAGCATTCTCCAATCCTTTTATGCTTTCCCACTTCACATCTGGACAACCGCGAACAATATCCCTGTAAATAAAAACCAAAGAGAAAAAACAGAGTTTATCATGAAATATGACAAAATCGGGAGGAATGATTACAAGGTTCAGTGATGGATAAAAAGCCAAGTCTCTCATTCAATTACTAACCTACTCAAACTTTCTGCTAAAGCACGCATTTCTGCAGACTCAAAGGGAGGAAGCAGAGACCTCTGTCTGAAATGCAGGAACCGAAAATCAGAAGATCTCAAAAGGTTAAACTCAAAACGAGAATAACTTTAATTTTTAAATTGCATAATCATGAACACGGTCTAATTTCTCGCATGCATGCATGAAAAGTCATTATTTTGGTTCCTTTTGCATGTAGAATAATGAATATTGAGACCAAAGCCATTTAGTTATGCATTTTTCTGTTTCCCTTTTTAGTATTCATTGTCCTGGGAGAATGTGGCTTCCCAATGAAAGCAAATAAGATTTCTTCCAATCACTATAAGATACGGAGTATTTTGTTTGCATTAAGAAAAGCAAGATATTAAATAAATTTGTCAAGTTTAAAACAGCACGGACGATATAAAAAACTGCATCATACATTGTTTTCTCAATTCGGGCAGATGAAACGCCATTACAGTGTGTGGAACTCCCTTGGTCCTTGAAGACAAGAAAATAACTAAGCGTGTAAGATAAAAAAACGTAGTCTTTATATAGCTCAGAAATGAACTATCAGCAGTATACCTGATTGTATTGTTCATATATGGACAAGTCATTGGTATTCTTTACATGGCCATTTACATTTGAAGTCACAACTGAAGAATTTCCATTAGAGAGTGGGGTACTATTTTCTGCCTCACCTCTTACAGTAGAAGCCTTCTTCCTCCCAAGCTTGATATCATAAAATAACTTAAAATCCTAATAATACAGGAAAAAACATGAAGTTATACATGCAAATCTGCATTGAGTTAGTTCGAAATTCCCCCAATTTACAATCACTTAATATGTATTACTGTCAATGTAAAAATTAACAGTCCCAACTCCCAGCAAACAAAATGAATGCATCTTATTGTAAAACAAAAACACACAACCACTTCATTTGGTTAGAAAGAAAGTAGTTTATGTGGATCAAGTAGAACGAAAACAGAATGGGGATGCGATTAGACGGAACATGTTCATGTTATTTCTCCAGCTCACGGAGAACATGACCCAGGAGTTTGGATATTGAAGATTAAATGTGTAGGGTAAATAGATAGAAGAGGGTTAGGTTTAAGAGGCTTCCTTGACAGAAAACTGTAATATTGCATGCTTTAATTTACTCACCCTTCCTCGTTTTCATACTTTGTTTTGTGCTTATTATTGTTCTTTTGGTGATCGCTTGTTTTAAAATGTTTTGATGTTTTCTTGAACCGAGGTTGTTTCGGAAACAGTCTCTCCACCTTTATATGTATAGGTTAAGTCTCTACAACAACCCAACGCGTGGCCTTGTGGGACCCTTGCTAGGTTGTTGTTGAGTACCATTCTTCTTTAAGCATTGGATTCCAGGACCAAAAATCCAGATGCAAATGTGGAATGCTGAAAGAGACCACCTGAATGCCTTGCACTGCACATTTCTCCTTCAATATTAGCCTGGAACTAGGGTGAGAAACAACACATGGAAAAGCTATCAACAAATACTCCTTTCCCATTCAATTTCCTTTTGGATCCAGGGTAGCCATATCTCACAGTAATCTGAAGCCACTAATCAGTCCCCAATCAAGTCTTCTTAAAACAACCAAGCAAACCATCAAAAATCAACACCTTTGCAAGTGCATTTTGCTCATCAAATTTTATATAAAAAAACCAGATTGATGATTTTTTTCAGAAAAAAAACATCAATCTCATCTGCAAATCGCAAAGCTGCAAAGCATATCCCCAAAATTCATAGTTCAAGCTAAATCTCACCCATTTATTATCAAATGCAAGGATTGTTTTTGGAAACACCTCTTAGAAGTACCCTATACAGAGTTATACTTGTTGGGTCTCAATTCGTTGTTAATGTTTTCTAGTCAAACTATTTCTTCTTTCTTTAATCATTTCTTCAAGTAAATCAAAATGTGAACTTCAATTCTAAGTCACCCCACACTAATATTCAAATGAATTGAATTGAAAATAATGCTAAAACATCATAAACTGTAAAGCGAAGGGTGGGAATGCAGGTACCTGCGGACGCTGCGGAGAGAGAGAAACAAAACATACCTGAAAAGACCAGCGAGTCAGAGAAGGTTCATCGGCCATTTTCAGATTCAGGTTCGAGAGAGAAAGAAGGTTTTCTTTGACAAACTCTCTCTCTCTCCCTCGCTTTCTCTTTCTCTGGGTCCTCTCCCTCTCAACTCTGAACTGAGGACATGTTGAAGAGAAGACAAATCCTTGGATCTTGTTATTTTTATTTTGAGTAAATTCCATAAAAGAAAAGAAGGTTCCCAGTTATAAGTCGTTTTACATATTTAGTCCCTACATATCAAATATTACCAATTTAGTCCCCAATTATTATATTCAATTCCACGAATGATCCTTTGTTAACGTTTTTGTTAAAAACATGGATAAAATTGTATATTCATACTTCTCTTTCTTCTTAATTAAGCTCCCTCTCTCCTCTTGTACTCTTTCTCAAACTCGTCGCTGAGTTTGAAGCTCTAAACCCAAAATTAAAAATGATCACTCTTCTTTCAATAAGCTTTATGGATGAGTTTTATCGATTAGTCTCAAGAAATTGCAAAGAAAATAAAGATTAAAACTCATCCATTAAGGTTACTTGTTTCGAATTTGGGTTCCACTAGTTCGACAAACAATTGAGAGAAAAGTGATAATTTTGGTTATGGGTTCAAAGCTTCAAACTCAGCGACGGGTTTGGGAAAGGAGTGCGAGGGGAGGAAAGAAACTTAATTGAGGAGAGAAAAGATTGTGAATTTATAATTTTATCCACGTTCTTAGCGGAAACGTTAACAAAGGACCATTCGTAAAAATGAATATAATAATTGGGAACTAAATTGGTAATATTTGATATGTAGGGACTAAATATGTAAAACGACCTATAACTAGGGACCTTTTATGAAATTTACTCTTTTATTTTTTATATCATACAAATAAATTCTGATCTGATCTAATTTGATTTTATTCGTTTATATTTTTTAAACTGTTTCAAAACTAATCAGATTTGATCCGATTTCAATAGAATCATAAAAAGCACCATAATTATTACTCCATCTATTCTAGATTAATCGTCACCGAGTTTTGACTCAAATTATTTTGATTCGAATTTATTTAAATAATAATAATAATACTAAATTTCAAGATAAAATATACTCTCTCCCTTGTAAAATATTTGTCTACTTTTGAATTTTTGCAGTTAATCAAAATCTGATTAGTTCTGAAACAATTCCCGCAATCCCACAAACCTCAACGTAGCGTAGTATATATATTTGGTATTATATTACAAAATTTAATATTAATCCATTTAGCGTGCAAAAATAGATATTGTTCAGTGCGGTTCAATGGATACCGGGCTAGAATGTGAAGCTTGTGGTGCTTAACATCCTTTTTTTTTTTGCTTTTGTTGTGTGTACCTCACTACTTTCTATTTTCTAATAAATTATTTGTGTTAAATTTCTGGAATATTTTAATTTTATGTTTGAGTTATACTTCTTGCTTTTTACCATTTGATGATCATGAGCTATGAACTAATTATTCTTTTCTTCCTAGAATGAATTTTTCATAGTATATAATTTTGACTATCACGATAAAGAAAATAATATACCCCAACTATATTTTTGTATTGTTTTTGTTTTGTGTGTACCTCTTACTAAATCTTGTGTTATTTAGACTATTTTTTCTCTTATTCCTAGAATGAATTTTTTGTAATATACTACCTCCGTCCCAGTGTGTTTGTCCAGTTTAACTTTTTCGAGTCAAACTTGACAAACTTTGAACTCTAATTACTCTTAATTTATATTGCATATTAGCATAATGAAATACAATTTTGAAAGTTATCATTACGATAAATCCAATAAAGTCATTTTTATGTTAAAATACATTACGACTTTTATTTAATTGAAGTTCAAAATTTGTCCAATTTGACTCGAAAAAGTCAAATTGGACAAATACATTAGGACGGATAGATGAAGTATTTTTTTACTCTCACATTAAATAAAAGGATGCAATCTACAAAACTTTTTTTAAAAAAGAAAGTTCAATCGAACATTCAAAAAAGTGTTCAAATTTAATGTTTGAGTTATATGTTGTATCATTTGATCAATAAGCTAAAAACTAAATGGTTCATTCATTTTATAATAGTCATATATCTTTATTTTTATATATAGAATTTGAGAATTGAGCTAAAAGAATTTAGACACGTGACTTATTTACACGAAACTTTTTTAACAACTCAACTCCAACCTATTCTATGCATACTTATGGAGATGAAATCATGAGGGGATCTAATTATGATTTTTGCCTTATTAATTTTTAATTTGAAATGTAAGTTTACACGTTAAAAGAAACTTTAAAAAGTGTTAGGATTTTAAAGATGGTATTTTAACCAATTCATTAACTTACCTTTTATGAATGACGGACTTGATTGCATAGCCATAAAATTCAAATATTTTTATTGCCATTTTTAATTTTCTATAATTAGTTTTAACATTATTATATAAAGTGAAAATATTTAATTAACACAATAAAACATGTTATAATTTCATTAATATAATTAAGAATAAAATAATTTTAAAATATTGCGATGACTTATCGAATAAAATTATTGTGTCTTTTAAAAATAGTAATTCACGTTCTGCTTTCACATGTTTTTGGTATCATTTTGACGGGAAAATTGGTACTCCTTCCGTTTCTTAAAACCCTTTCTCTTTCATTTTTTTTGTTTTTCTTAAAACACTTCCCCTTTCTATTATAAAAAACCACTTTTACCCCTACTTTTTCATACCCTACCTATCACATCATACTTTTTCACTAACAACTAAACTATCACATCTTACTTTTACCCATCACATCAAGGACAAAATTAGAAAGTCAACTACAATTTAACACTTCCTTATTTTTCCCCAAAGTCAAAAGAGGAACTCTTTTGAGAAACGGAGGTAGTAGTAGATTATCAAAAATATCATTTACTCTTTTATTCTAGAAAAGTATTTGTTATTCAATTTTTTAGTAAATTACCAAGTATTAGGAAAGACGAATGAAATAATATAATGAAAGTTGTGACAGCTGGGAGAGGAGGTTTTTTATTTCGTGTATGGTTATGGGGGAATTGGAAATTAAAAATATTTCTTCGGAAATCATTGTTTGTTGTGCTTTAGATCGAATGGTAAATTTGTTTTAAACGTTGCATCCAATGGAATTGTTGATTTATACTGTGTAGGTATTAAGCCTGTATGCAACTTGATTATTTTTCATTTTATTTTTAAATAAGTATTTGTGTAACTTGATTATTTTTCTCTAAAATAGAAGTTGGATAGAATCAATAAAATAAATAAGTATATGTATTTGTATTTTTAAAATTCTTTCTTTGTTATGTCTTAAGGGTCTTGTTCGTAAATTTATAAAAAGTAATCTAAAGTGTTATTCTATATACAGTATGTAGCATGCAATAGGATAAATGTCTCTGTGTAAAAATGAAGGGGTTCCTATGACTTTGGAATCTCATGTTATGGGATGACCCGGAGGCTCTACAGTACCCCATTCGTAAAATTGACGATTGCTATTTCTCTAATCCCAAGTAAAACCCCCACCCCAACCTAAACACACTTCCTTATCCCCTTCAATTGCACCCCAAGTTACTTTTCACTTTGGACTCAATTTTACTTAATTAATTATTATTTGAGAATACTTTGTTATTTTAATAAGTAAAATTCAATGAATATCCGATTTATGAATTTTGCAAATTTTTTTTAATTGTGACTTTAGCATTTACTTAGATCTTATTAGGTATTCCTTAATACACATCATCCAGCACAATTATGGTCCTCATCATCATCATCAATGCTAAATGTCAACATTTACTAAATCACACTATGATTTTACTAAAGCAGTAAAGCTCATTGAAGGAGTAACATTCATTCCGTCACATACAGACACACCATATTTATACATGTTCAAATGAGATACTCCATGTTAGCGTACACGTAACATTGTTTTTTTTTTTTAATTTTGGGGAACATCTTTTTGAGGTTCTAAAAAAAACAGTAAACGGCGCTCACAGCACACGTGAATAATTAAAGGGAGATTAGAATTAGATTTGCTTGATTGTAGAATTTGTAGGGTAAAAAGTGTTGTCCGCCACAAAGTCTACGTACGTATCTTCTTCGTGGATCATTTATATATATTCCTCATGTCAACGACAATATTCTAAGACTGTGACGTTAATTAGTCCTAATTAATACTCCGTATTTTACTACTAAAGAACACGAGCACGTACTCAACCTCAGCTACTCTTCATAGATTATACGGAGTATTCACTTTTTTTTTTATGTTCATTTTTTTGCAGTGCACTTTTTATCTGTTCATACTAAAACAAGAGTTCCGGAGTACTCATTTTTCAAAATCATTTTAATTAAAAGTAAAAAATTAGTATAGAAATAAAAATATAAATCACACTATTCAAAAATGTATAAAATTTTTATAACATAAAATGTGACAAAAGTATTTTATTTTATCATGGGTGGCTCAGAGAGTGTGTAAAGTGGCCAACCACACAGGGCTCCTAAAATTTTAGGGCCCCGTATTTTTGAAATTCGTCATTAATTTTGAAGCATAGGTATTCTAAAATAATGATATATGGCCTAAAATGTAAATTTCAGACCGGACCAATTTCATTTTTTCATTTTTTTGAGGCAGGCCTTGTATTTTATCAAATGATCAATGAAAAATTTACAAATAAGCAAAAGTTATTGAGAAGTCATAACAGTGACAATAAGGAACAATGTGAGACAGAGGTAGTATATATATCTCTTCATCACATTTTTTTAAAGAATAAAACATGTGTTTTTCAAGTACTCTCTGCCTTTAAAAAGAAGTCATTCTAAATAATAATAAAACATACTCCGTATATATTCTCCAAAATATGAGTGACATTTTTATCTCCAATATATATATATATATCAATGCAAAAGAGATAGAGTATTACAGTGACTTTATATGGATATATTAGTTATTTTAATAAACAAGGAAGCATTTTGGTGAAAGCGATAAAATAAAAGAGGATGGATTTTAGTGAACGAAGGGAGTATATTTTATCATAAAAATATCAGCTGATAATTAAACAAGAGCATTAATACAAAATATATCATTAAGAAAATTATAGGAGTATATTTTTTAAAAATTATTGAAAGTTTGAGTATTTTGACAATTAACTAACTAATTATTAAGAAAAGAAAATCCATAGGGCATTATTGTGAGGCTACAATATAATTAAATTAAAAGGCATACTACTAGACCTAGCTAGCTACTCCACATCAAAGACATACACCATCCCCTCCGTAAAACATTACTACGAAAACTACATGCGTAGATCGTTCGTGGTGGCCGGATCTACGCCATCTAACATACGAAGACATTATTGCATGTGAATTGTCGAAAAATACGAAATACTACAAACCTAGCTAGAGTTAACCTAGCTAGCTCATGAGCTAAGTCTTAGGGTTTTGTAGCTTCTAGCTAGCTAGGTTTTTACTGGATCTCCCTCTCCCATTTAATTAGTTCCCATCCATTCATCCATTTTCTGGAACAACTAATTAACTTATAGCTAGCCATGTGATTCATTACAAACATAAATATCAATCACATAATTTCTAATCACAGGAAAAACATAGTAAAACATTAAAAATGGGAAAATTTATAGTGTAATTAAAATAGCCAGCTAGCAAGCTTGGCATAGCATATATAGCTAGCTAGCTAGGTACTAGGTAGGTAGGCATAGGTAGGAAAAGAAAAGTGAATTAATGTTGGAAATGAAAGAGTCTGTTTTCACCGAGGGTAGTCATGTAAGCAGAGTTCTTGTATTGGCACCATGTGAAGTCATGGTACAGGCGTTCTTCCCCTAGAGCCATGAAACAAGGCAAAGGGGCAATCTTTTCATTCAAAGGGGGGCCTCCAAAGTAGATCATGGACACCCTAGCCTTCCAGCTGTCAGCCACCACCCTGTGCCTTACACTCCTAAACCTCCCGTTGCTCATCGCCTGCATCCATCGTATCCATCCACACACCCATATATATAATTTAGTGAAATTTGCACTAAATAGGACTAAAATATACTACCTCCGTTCCATTTTAAATTGCATGTTTGCCTTTTTTCTCCGTCCCAAAATAAGTTGCCTGTTAGTTGTTTTCGTAAACTTTTAAGAGTAAAATGCCTAAACTACGTACCTCTAAAATAAGTCACTCTTCTCCACTTTATCTTCTCATTCATCGTTATCCCTCCTAAAAAGTACTGACAATTTCGAAAAATCAACTCTATTTTTTCTTTTCCTTAAATATGCCCAAAAGTCAAAACAGTCGATTTAAAACGGGACGGAGGGAGTAAGTTATTTCCCAATGTAGGACTTAAACATTTTTATTCCCTATATAATACTTAATAATGTCTAGTGGGATGATTAATATCCAGTGATGGTGAACATTTACTTGAATAATAATTGATAATAGATAATGACCAATGGTATTACATTAGGAAATAAAAACATATAGTCCTATATTGAGAAAGTCATTATGTTTTAGTCTTATTTAGGTAAATTACCCTTTTGGTTTTTAAGAGATTTAAAAGAAGTTTATTTTGGTATTGAGTTTTCAAAAATATCCTTAAATGTGATGGGTAAAAAAGAATTTGATGGGTAGATTAATAGTGAATAGATGTTATGTGATAAATATGTTAAGAATTAGTATAGGTAAAAGTGACTTTTTAATAAAAATGGGAAGAGTTTTTTGGAACGGATGAAAAAAATGGGAAAGTTTTTTAGTGAGAGAGTCAGAGAGAGGGAGTATTTCAACTACGCATGCTAGGTAAGTCTACCCCCAAAGATTGTTCCAAATGTTTATAATTTTCATGACTTACATTGATACAAAATGTCAGTACAATCGCAAGATTTCACACTGACAATTTGGGTTAATGTAAGTCATCAATCTCGCACTTACATTGACACTGGACAAAATCTAAAGATAAACTTTTGGGGTACATTTTAGCTACAATTTTCAAGGTACATTTTGGGATACAATTTTCAAGGTACATTTTCGGATGCAATTTTTTTGGTACAAGTATATTTATTCATACTCCTTCCGTTTTTTGAAACACTTCTTCTTTCATTTTTTTCACTTCCAACAAAACACTTCCACTTTCTATTTAAAAACCACTTTTACCCTTACTTTTTCATACCCTACCTATCACATCATACTTTATCTCTAATAATCTATCCATCACATCTTACTTTTACCTATCACATCAAGGTCAAAATTGGAAGTCAATTACAATTTAATACTTCCTTATTTTTACACAAAGTCAAAATAGGAACACTTTTTCCAAACGGAGGGAGTATTATATTGTTCTTCATCCGTCATATACATAACAGTTTCGGCATTCTTTAGAAATAACATTTTCAATTAGTATTGGATTTGGATATTCTTTTATTAATGGTCAAGATATATTAGCTTTCAAAACACTAAAGCCAAACGTTGATGTTAGACATTCTTTTCAAAAAAACTAAACCTTTTTTACTAGCGTGATAGCTCCACTGGAATTATAATCCACTGTGGATTGAACACATGACCTCTAATATAAAAGAGTCACTTTGGTACCATTAGACCACGAGGTTGTTGGTTATTTTCGTATCTAACTGATTACACGGGGGTGGGGGTGTAAAAGAACCAAATCGAAGCGAATACCGAGTTATTTGAATTTGTATTTGTTTAATTTTTTCGAATCCGAATCCGAATTCGAATATGAGACGAATTCAAAATAAGATTTGAATATGCATTTGATTAATATTCGAATATTTAACGAATCCTAAACGAATATTTGAATAATCATACTCTGTAATTTATATGATGGACCAACATCAATTTGTAATTTAACTTACGATACTCGTTATGTTGTACTATACTTCGTTCTAAAAACATTAATACATTTGCATCTTACATAAATTATATTTTATAAAATATAACTATTAAAAAGCATATGCTTTTAATTTTTGTGTTACGTTAATTTGTCGAATTCTTAGTAATTTAAATACACTTTATACTATATTAGTCTGCTTGACTATTGGTGTTGAAAACATGGTCTGTATGCATATACATATATTTGAATATTAGAATATTATCTGAATCGAAAATATTCATATTTGTATTTGTATTTGTTTAACATTCGAATCAAAAATAATATTTGAATTTGAATTTGTATTTGATTAATGCGAACTCGAACCATTATATTCGAAAACGAATCACGAATCGAATTTAAAATATTTGATTTGTATACATCCCTACGACGGGGGCTTAACATAAACCCGACGCTTAATATAAACTATGATTAAATTTATAAATTTTGACCATTAAAATTAAAATGAAACACATACTTTTAAATTTTGGAAGCTAAGAGAGAGTATAATATACTACATCTGTCCCTGAAAACATGGAAAATTTTGATTTTTAAGAGATTTTAGGGAAGTATTTTGGTGTTGAGTTTCCAAAAATGTCTTTGGATGTGATGAGTAAAAAGTGGAATTTAATGGGTAGATTAAGACTTTGTTTGGTAATAGCGTTTTCGATTAGCGTTAGCGTTTTGGATAAAATTTTAATGGTGCAGATGAATTCTGAAAACGCTAACGCTAAAGGCTACCGTCAGATAATTTTTTCAAAACGCTAACGCTAATCTCTGACGCTGATGCCAAACGGGGCTTAATACTCGTAATAAATAGATGTGATATGATAAGTAGGTTGAAATTAATAAGAGTAAATTAGTATTCTAATAGAAATGAGAAATTTTTTTAAGAAAATGAATAAAGAAAGAAGAAAGATTGTAGAGACCGAGATTCTTGGCTAGTGAGTACTATAGAGTACGGAGTAGTATTTTTCCTGGCCATGTATTATGGGTAAAGGTATTTGTACCCCATGTTTTGTACCCCACTTTGTACCTCGTAGCTTTGCACCAACACTTTGTGTTGGTGTAAAACTAATTTTTATTAATGCACCAACACTTTGTGTCCATGTAAATTTTTGTTAATACACCAACACTTATGTCGGTGTAAACCATCAAAATGTTTGTGTATAACTGCAGTGTACAAATGGGGTACAATTTGTGGTGTAAGTGTAGCATAACCCATGTATTATTATTCCTAAGGTAGGATCTCACCCACCATATATGTGTTGTCGCGCGCTTTACGCAGCTAGCTTTTTTTTATTTTTTTTTATTTTCTTTTTTTGAAAACAAGTAGCTAGCTAGCTAGTTCCATTTTGTTTTCCACTTTTTCACGTTCAAGATTCTATGTTTTTCACCGAATATCTTTAAATGCACATGTACGCACTCGTACTTATATTTTTTTTAAAAAAATTAATACTCACTCCCTCCACAAAAAATGTTATACATAGTAGTTATTATTTTGGACTCTCGATAACTTTTGTTTTTTTATTCGTTTTGACTGACCATTTGATAAAATAAAATGTTCTTCTCGCATCTTGTAGAATTTTTTATGTACTTTTGAATATTACTTTTTATTTTTTTATCAATTTATTTGTAAATAAAATAATTTTAAAAGAGATGATATTTTACACATTTTTCAAAATATTGTAAACAATTTGGGACGGAGGGAGCAGTACTATGTATATAATTAACTATGTTTGCCAAGGATTATATTTTTGGACATAGATAGTAGTATGTACTACCTCCGTTTCTCAAAACAATTCCCCTTTTGACTTTGGGAAGAATAATGAAGTGTTAAATTGTAGTTGACTTTCCAATTTTACCCTTGATGTGATGGGTAAAAGTAAGATGTGATGGTTTAGTTGTTAGTGAAAAAGTATGATGTGATAGGTAGGGTATGAAAAAATAGGGGTAAAAGTGGTTTTTTAATAGAAAAGGGAAGTGTTTTAAGAAAAACAAAAAAAAATGAAAGAGGAATGGTTTTAAGAAACGGAGGGAGTATATAACAATTCGATATGTCTGGGAGTAATAATAAAACTTGTTCGTTTTCCGTTTAGGATGATAATAAAACTTTGACCAAATTACTCTCGCTTTCTACGATATTAAAATTTATATCATACGGAGTAATTTGATAGTCAAAATTTAAAAAATGTTGATCACATAAGTCAAAATAGATAAAAATAACTGAGACAAATAGAGTACATGATTAAAATTTAAATTCTAAAATTATGTACTCCGGGTATTATATTCATTTTGAATAGGATTTTACTTAATTAACCTGTCTTGAAAAATCATCATTTTTTTCCTTTCTAAAATAATATAGAAATCAACCTAAATAGGATTAAAACATAGAGAAAAGTACCAAAATAGGACTTTCATATTTTTTTCCCGAAATAGGACTTTGCACTGTGGTAATGTGACTTTGCCCTGTTGTAATGTGGCAGTGTACATGTGCAAATTACTATATACTTTTTTGGTAATGTATATGACCATGTATGGTAATGTAATACTTATTTTGAGAATAAAAACATGAAAGTCTTATTTTGTTATAGTTTCAATGTTTTAGTCTTACTTTGGTCTTTCTCCCAAAATAATACTCGTATTTTTTTCATTTTTTGCATACATTTATTTATTATCTTTTTTATTCAAAAAAAAACTTTCTTTTAACCTTAAGAAGCTATACATTAATTAATAACACTTCAATTCATTTATTTTCTGATGTGAAATTTAATTTGAAGGGCAAACATATGACACCTTACAAAAAGATTGTTAGATCGATGTCTCTCGATCACGTACAGGCTGCAGCATTTGTTATGTGTATAATCAAAATTTGGTCAAATCGATTTTTTTAAAAAAGTACAGCATTTGGCAGCAATAATCATCAAGAGGACAACGTGGTACGTAGATCGTCAGAATGGTTCTGACGACGGTTTTTTAATCACAGCAACTGCGAAAAACTTAACAGAAAATTAAGGTTTATCAATAACTAACTGTGATTAATTAGTAGAGGTTTTGGCAATTAATTTTAGACTGGATAAATCATACTCTCGCTATCCCAAAACTATTACCTCACTTTTCAAATTTGGCATTCTAAAATTAAAATCTTAATACTCTTTTATGGTATGGGCAAAGTTCTCATGACATTGCATGCCCGGCAATGTCATGGGATGACCCAGGAGTGCTCCGATCTCCCGTTCGTAAAATTGACGGTTCTTACCCCCGGTCCCCCGACCCGAACACAGCCCCCACCCTCTTCAATTGCACCCCACAAATTATTACTTCACTTTTCAAATTTGGCGTTCTAAAATTAAAGTCTTAATACTCTTTTGTGGTATAGCTACCTCACCAAAAATAGCATAATTCCCATGCATACAACACTTTCTTATTTAATACTCCGTACTCCGTATCAATAATAATTTTGAATTTCTTTCTCCTATTTTAATTTTTCTATATATTTAATCACTTTTTACATCTTGGCTCTTAAGAATGAAGTCGAATCAGGTTTTAGCTTTGGGACGGAAGAAGTATATATATATATAAGAAAAATAGAAGTAAATTTGAATATAATGCAAATTTAGTACTCTGATCTCTCCATTAAAGAAACACCTAGTTACTATTTAGAAGTCAAGTTAACTTTACTTTTGGAACTAATAATTGTGTGAAATGTGTTTCTTAATTGAAAGATAAGAGTTTTTTTTTATGATAGATCGATGAAAATGAACGTAAACAATTAATAGAAAAAATAAGTGCGAGGAATGTTTTCCTAAATTACCTGGAGGACGTCGCCGACGTTAATGAAGAAGGAGGAGGGGTCAGGAGGGACAGAAACCCAAGTACCGTCTCTCAGACAGATTTGCAACCCGGTCGTGTCGTTGGATCTTATCGCGGATATGAGTTGCGGGTCGGTGTGCTCTCCGAACCCTATCCTCAACTCACCCACCCGATGATGAGCCGCTTCGTTAATAAGATTCGGGCACGGCGGGTAGTGGTTTAGCCTGAAGAAAGAATCACTCTTCTCATCACTTATTAGCTTGCTCAGTCCATTCTTCTCCTCCATCTTCAACCCTTGGGCTATCATTTCCAGCACTTTGCATGCCATTTCTCTCACTGCTCCAACATTCTCGGACACGGCATTCCTATTAATAAGTAAACATGGTCATGATTATTTTTGTTTTAATAATAATCGATTTATTAATTTATTGAAATGATGGAGTTTTTAATTAATTAATTAATTAATAATTGTTTCCAAACTTTGTGGAAAGGAAAAACTCAAGGTAATCAAGCATGAAAAGGTACTTATTAGTAATAGTAAGAAATAAAAAGAAAAAGAAGTAACAAAGATCAGACACTCAATCTGAAGCGTATCAGATGATTATTAAAAAAGAGATTTTATTATTTGACAATAATTAAAGAAAAGAGAATTTACTACAATGATTAATATTAATATGATTATTAGTTGAGCAGTTCAACTAGTTGAAGACAACTGTAACACAATAATATTACGAAGTAGGTCATACTCCCTCCGTTTGCAACAAAAAAGTTCCTACTTTGACTTGGAGCCAAATTAAGAAAGTGTAAAATTATAATTGACTTTCAATTTTGTCTCTGATGTGATGGATAAAAGTAAGATGTGATAGATTGATTATTAGAGAAAAAGTATGATGTGATACGTAGAGTATGAAAAAGTAAGGGTAAAAGTAGTTTTTTAATAGAAAGTGGAAGTATGTTTGTTGGGATTGAAAAAAATGAAAGAGGAAGTATTTTTGAGAACGGATGGAGTATATACTAATCCTTTTAATTTTAGAAACAACCAACAACAAATTGAAAATAGTCACTAAACTTAAAATTAGGCATAGTATTCAGTACTAAAGAAAAATTACTTTCTCCATCTTTGAAAACCTCTCTTTTCTTTTTTCGTCCCAAAATTTCTTTTTAATTAAAAAATTACTTTTACACGCATTACTTCTTAATTTACGTATGACATCATATCTATTGAGTATTAATTTACCATCAAATTCTACTTTTACCCATCACATTTAGAAACTCAAACTAAAATACACTGTCTTTAAATCTCTTAAAAATTAAAATCTCTCATATTTTCAGGAATGGAGTGAGTACATTGTAAAAATAAGGTAGTACGTACTCCTTCCATCTTGTGCCAAAAAGCAAAATCATCTTTTTGGTTATTCCAACCTAAAAACAATGATTTAAATTTCAGACCGGAGGTCAATCCAGCGGAGAGTGCGGGTCCCATTTCAGTATGGGTTTTTTCGGGTTGATCGGGTTTTCCCAAGTTGGGGGGGGGGGGGGGTTTGGACGGGACCGATTGTGTATCCGGGTCGCGTTTCGACCGGTCCAACCACCCAGTCTAGTTCGGGTTTAATAAGTGTCTAAAAGATGCACCTCTAATTGTATCATACTTCTTCCGTTTTGTAAAACTTTTTCATTTTCTAATCTTATATATTACATAAAATATTTTAATGTGGTCTGAATAGATGTTTTTACTTTTTTTTAAAATCAAAACGAACCTACTGTAAGTACCTTCTATGCACTACTCATTGACATTTTCCGGGTACTACTCATTTCCATTATCATCATTCTATCTTAGTCAAACTTTTACAACTTCCTCTTCCAAAAATCAAAACAATAAATATTTTGTGGGACGAAAGAAGTAACATTCATTTTTCAATTACTTCATGTCAAACTTTTGGCATTCAAACTTTAAGCTGAATGTAATTTGGGTATTAGAAATCATCCTAAATAGGACTAAAATATAGTGAAAAGTACCAAAATAGGACTTTCATGTTTTTTTTCTGAAATAGGACTTTGCACTGTGGTAATGTGACTTTGAACTGTGGTAATGTGGGAGTGTACATGTGTACATTACTATACTTTTTTGGTAATGTATATGACCATGTTTGGTAATGTAAGTCCCTATTTCGAGAATAAAAACATGAAGGTCCTATTTTGATATATTTTCAATGTTTTAGTCCTACTTTGGTCTAAATGTAATGAGATATGTATGACAATTATTAATATGAATAAATAATTAATTATATATTTGAAAGATGAATAATTTTTTGAGACAAGTGAACCAAACATGACAAACTAAATGCAGTTACCAAAAGAGTTGAGAATCGCCGGGAATGGCGATGGAGCTCCGCTGAGAGACCATGAGTTCCGGGTTGGCAGCGAGGAGAAGGTACTCAACCAAACCCACATCACCATTGTTGCCGATCTTCTTACAGCCATAGCCATAGGGGTTTGCAGGGGCAACTTGGTCTTTTTCATGTTGGGGCAAGCCAAAGAATCTCAAAGCCTCAGCTTCCAGCTTGTCAATGGCTTCAATGGGGACACCATGGTTGACAACCTTAAAGAACCCAACCTCCTCACATGCCTTTACTATGAGGTGTTTTGCCTCTTCGGGCTCCATTAGGTCTACCACTGGTATAACATCATTAATGCTAATATGGTTATTAGGGTTCTTGCTGGGCTTTATGTCTGAAAAACTTTCTACAATTGGCTTAGACATTTGCACCATAACTTTGAAGAGAGAGAGAGAGAGAGAGAGAAAGAAAGAGTGTGACTATTATCATGGGAAGAATGAAAGAGGGGGGTTTAAATAGGGTGTGGTGAATATACGGAGTATATAAGAACCATGCTACACTTACACCAAAAAGTGTACCCCAAAGTTACACAAAAAATATACGTAGTATAATAATATTTTTATCATTCACACTAACACAAAATGTTGCTGCGTTAATAAAAATTTGCACTAACATTTTGTGTCTGTGTGAACTATCACTCTAACATTATACTAACACAATATGAAGTTGCAAACTTGCGGGGTACAAATTTTAGGGTACAAATAACTCAATCCTGAATATATTGGTGCAGTGATACAATTTTACCTAATGACTTTAATCGTTCATGTATTCAACCTTCAATAACCATGATTAATTGTTTCACTTTTGATTGGTTGGTTTGGTTGTCTAGCACTAATATTTCAAGAATTTGAGTACGTGTGTTGGCGGGTTGACTTTGATTAGCATTGGTAGGTAAATAGAAAAAACTTTAATTACGTGGAACGAATTAATAATGATTTTGTAATGGGAACTTTTGATGTGTTAAATGTTTCAAGGGTAAATTGTACTTTCTCTCTCCCGAAATGTTCTTCACCTTTGAGTTTTTTTGGTCAAAATTTGTAAATTTTGACTCCAACTTGTAGAAAAAATATATTGTATTATGATAAAAGTTTAATATCAATATATTCATAATGAAATGTAATTTTGAAATATCATTTTTTATAAAATATATTCATGTATAAATATAGATATTAATGGTTAAAACACAACATTGGAGATCGTAAAACGTCAAATGTGAAGAGCATTTTTGGAAAGAGGAAGTAAATTTCATCACATAAAAAGCATCTAGAAACCATATATTTCTCTTTATTAAATTTACTATCCTAGGTCTAATGCTTTTTTGCCCAAGACCTTGTACGAGATAAAGAGAATGGTGATGGTAAGCAAATTCGAGTCTGGTTCCGTAGCCACTGGATTAACTGCCACTGCTTTTGTGGAGCACCTCTGGTGCTCCGTTCTCATATTTGATGATTCTCACATCTCCTAACTCTCCTAAATCCCACACCTCTGCTCTTCCCTGTCTTCTCACCCCAACCCCACACCCTACTCCTCCAAATGTGTGGTTATAGGAACCATTAATAGTTTTATAAGCGCAGCATTGGAGATGCTCCAAAAGACCGTGGCAGCGGCTTCGTTAGCCAATGGCTATGGAACCGCTGTGATCAAATCCTTGAACAACCATGAGCATTTTACGTACGTACGAGACTTATAGTTGGAGGTCACAAGTTTGAGTGCTTGTGAGAATATAGTTTTTTGTGTTTCAATACCTTGAAAAATTATACGTGAGCAGAAATTATATTGTAATAAAATCAAATAAAAAAAGTGATATTTTTCCGTCATGCTTTGAATGTTCAAAGACCTCCGATGGCATTAATGTAATTATTTGTTGTTTTTAATGGAGGGACCCACACATTTTCTCTTCTTTCTCCGTTAAACATTTGATGCATAAATGATGAAGCCCCAAGAGGGCGCCGTTTAATGCCCCTTTGGCGTTAAAACCAGCAATTCAAAAACGCCTCGGGTATTAGTACCATTTCCAGTGCTCTAAGGAGACATCAAAGTGGTGTCACCACTTTGATCCCATGTATCACACAAACACACACCGACAATAACAACTTGTACATGTAGTGCATAATTGCATACGGATCATTATTGTCTATATATATGAGCATACCTATATGGTACATGAGCTCCAAGTGGTGTCACTAGCTTGTGGATGTCTAATTTCTTTTGTTTTTGTTCCAAAGATCTCTTAGGGGTTTGAACTAGGTTTGTCCGCTGATGGCCGTAGGTGCACGCACTCACTCACACCACCGCCTTATTACTTTAACCAACGTCATCTAACTGATCTAAGCCTATGGAGTTTTGGTTTGGGGGTTTGAGAAAATTACTCAATGTAAATTTTGCTCCATAGGGACAAAACCAGATTGAAAGTTAAATTGAATAATTTTTCGCCTAAAATTTAATTCAAATGGAATGGAACCAAACTTAACCGTTCATATCGAACATACTCTCTTGGTTCAACAATCATCTTTAAGTTTACTAGTTTTTTACTTATTTTCAATTCATTGCCTACTTGGTAAAAGAATATAGTTATGTCAATTCTAGTTTTGTAAGTGTTTTGATGTAGTTTTTTAACCTTCTTCAATTAATTATTTTTTTTTACTCATTACTTATATTTTTATTTCAATAATATTACGGAGTAGATCAAATCAAATTTTACATGATCTTGCTTTGTTTTGAATTAAAATCGAAATATTATTGCAAAGAGACTAATACTAATCCAATTAAATTCTTATTGCTATAATCGCATATAAGAAAAAAAATTTATCTAGAATAATCTCAAATTTACATGCTCTTTCAAAAAATAAGAAGTAATACATTGATACTTTGTATAGTGCGCAAAATGTTAGAACTCACCACTCTTTATATTTTTATTTTATTTCTTACTAGTTTCAGTTTAATTTCTATTGAATACCTTATTTATTTCATTAATTTTATATGATTTTATTTATTTTTCTTATTTTTGTTATTTTTAATACTACCTCCGTCCCAGAGTATTTGTCCACTTTCATTTTTACACATCATCCAATACACTTCTTTAATCCATTTTATCTTGTAATTTGTATATTAAAAAATTATAGAAATTATATATTAATAATCTACGGAGTATATGTTAAGACAAATCAAACAAGATCACACATTACTATATTTAGGCTTACACATTGAGAGAATTTGATGAGTCAAAGTGCTTAGATGAATAGTTCCAAAAGTCAAAACTGGACGAATACTCTGGGACGGAGGGAGTATCTACTTTTCCCCAAGGTAAGACTTATCTTTAAGAAAAAGAAAAAATAGAGGTAGAAAGTCATTTTAAAAATTTAAATGAAAGTTTCAAAAATAGAATAAAAATTTATTGAAAAATAATTTCAACTTTTATTTTGTTGCGCAAAATATGTCATTTCCGTTAATATGCCGTTAGCAACTTAATGACAATCCAAAAATCGTAAATTTCTATAAAGTTGAGATTAATATAATTCACACTGAAAAGTGAAATTATTTTTGAAAGACTAAATAAGATTAAATTATTCGGGATAAATTTCTTTATATATTTCCGCTCGGACTGGGGCATTGTCCTCTGTGTATTCTGCATGCAGTTTCAACTTTCAACAATTATCAAAGCAGCATCTTAGTTGTCTGCCCATGGGCCACCTTTCTTTTTGGGCCACCTCATATCACTAATGCGTTTCGAATATTGGGCCTTTTGTTATGTTGGACCTCTGTACCACTAAGATTATATCTGGGCTGGCCTGTACCTAGCTAATATATTGCCGGAGTAATTGAAATATGATTCTAGCAAATTGGGAATGATACACATATTCACATCTTCTTATTTATTTTATTAATTTTGTATGATTTTGCTTAGTACAATTTTGAGCACCCAAATTAAAGTAGATGTTGGAAGAAAGTAAAATAAGTTAGAAAATATTGAAAGAAACTAAAATAAGTTGAAAAGTAGAAGAAATTAGAAAATTACAAGAAATTGAAAAACTGGAAGATATTAGAAATTTTTAGAAAAAAAATAAAAGTTGCTGAATTATTATATGTTTAAAATTTTATGCTTTTATTAAAAAAAATTATACCCTATTTATTTTAGTTTAGAGTAAGTCTAACATGACACCAGTGCTACCGGTGTCATTTTCTTACATCAGTTCGTTTGGGGTACCTACGGTGTCCCGTTTGTAAAAATAACAGTTCCTACCCTCCTAACCCTCCTCCTAAACCCCACCCCAAGGTAGGGAGGGAGGGCTGGGGTGGGGGGCAGGCGTGGTGGGGGTTTAGGGGAGGGTTAGGAGGTGTAGGAACTATCATTTTTGCAAACGGGCACCGTAGGTATCCCAAATAATGAGTACAAAAGTATAAAACAAAAAAAAAAAGCTAGAGAACCCGTTTACAAAAGACTACCCAATAATAGCTTACTAGCTTTTAAGTATTCAAAATTAATCCACATTATTAACATTTTATTCATAACAACAACAACAATAGAAAATGACATTATCCAACAAGACCAACCCAACCCCAATATTTTGGATTACTCATAACCCAAGTTTAATTTGCGCAAATAACTATGTTTATGGTCTAAAAAATTTGGAGACATCATAACCCAAAGAGCAATACTAGATTTACAAATAAAATAAGAATTAAGCTAGGAGTACACCAACATGAGGTACCCCAAGTGTACACCAAAGCCAACACAGATACACACAGACACTTTGTGTCTGTGTTGCACAGACATTTTGTGTCTGTGTGTGTCTGTGTACACTTGGGGTACCCCATGTTGGTGTACCCCTAACATTGCCCATAAAATAATCACAAACTTCGCAAACTATTTATTATTTAAATTTTTATTTTAAAATTATTTTAGACTATTTAATTTTTTTTTATTAAAATTCCAAAAAGGATTATTGTCCTTAAACCAATGGGGTATTTATTGATGAAAAGAATAGGGGAACATATTATGGGGATGGCAACGACGTCCAAACCACTCCTCTGCCACTCAAAGCTACTCTGCATCTCCTTCCTCTACCTCCTCACTGCCCTCTCCTTAGCTTTTTACACTCTTCTCTCCCCCACCGCCTGCCTTTTCCGGCCGTCGCCGTACGATCCGATCCAGACATCTCTCTTCTCCTACAACGCATCCTACGGCGAGCACAAGCACGCCCTGCCCACCCACCGCCGCCGCCCTTCCTGCGCCTCCCCTGTCCTCTTCTCCGGTAAAGTTTTGATCTTTTTCCGATTCAATCTCGATTTTGGGTATGGGCTTTCCGTTCTGAGTAATGGGTCGTCTCCGGTTTCGCAGATTATTGGGACGCCGTGACGGAAATCAAGCGGCTTTGCCGGGACTCGCCGGCGGCGTTGGGTTCGGGAACCCTGAATTACGCTCACTGCGAGAAAGATAGCTTCGGCGGCAATTTCTCCGCCGCAAAGCGGTTTTCCTATTTCGATCAGGCCGGCGGCGATGATCGGAAAGAGATTCCCTGCGGATTCTTCAAACGGTTTCCGGTTAGCAAATCTGGTTTGTATGATTGTATGATTGGATCTGATTATTTTTCGTTGGATCTCGTGACCTAGGTTTTAATTTGTTGCTGTTTCACGACAATATGTTCTTTAATTAATAAGTACTCATGAGTATCATGCAACCCCCAAAACCGTAATACTCCCTCCGTCCCTGTTTGTCCACTTTCATTTTTGCACACCATTCAATGCACTTCTTTAATCTATTTTATCTTGTAATTTGTATATTAAAAAATTATAAAAATTATATATTAATAATCTATATGTTAAGACGAATCAAACAAGATCACACATGACTATTTTTAGGCTTACACATTGAGAGAATTTGATGAGTCAAAGTGTTTAGATGAACAGTTCTAAAAATCAAAAGTGGACAAACACTCAGGGACGGACCAAGTATGTTTTAATTACATTAAAAGTTCTACAAGAACTGAGGTGACATGATTAATTACATTTTTTAATTAGTAAGGCTTGATCAATGACTACCCTTTTTGTTTTTCATTTGTTTGATCCTTTGCTTGGAACAAATCAGATAAGACGGCAATGGAGAGATGCGACGGGGTAGTGGTAGCATCAGCAGTGTTCAACAACCACGACAAAATCCGGCAGCCAATAGGCCTAGGAACACAAACCCCAAACCTCGTCTGTTTCTTCATGTTCATCGACAACTCAACCCTCCAAGACCTCAAAGCCTACAACCTACTAAACCCCCAAAGAACCTCCCGCGCCGAAACCCGCCTCGGCGCGTGGAGGATCGTGGTCCAAGCCGGTTCTCTGTACGAGAACGCGGCCATGAATGGGGTGGTACCAAAGTACCTGCCCCACAGGCTGTTCCCAAACGCCAGGTTCAGCGTTTGGGTGGACGCGAAGATGCAGCTGGCGGTGGACCCGCTGCTGCTGGTCCACTCGCTGGTGGTGGCCAGAGAGGGGGTGGAGGTTGCGGTTTCGAGGCACCCGGTTTTTGTGCACACCATGGAGGAGGCGGCGGCGACGGCGCGGTGGAGGAAGTGGGGGGACGTTGGGGCTTTGATGGTGCAGATGGAGACTTATTGTGAACATGGGTTGCAGCCATGGACATCCAACAAGCCTTTTCCTTCGGGTATCATTGCTATCTCTCCATCTCCAAAATCCAAAATTAGTCTAAACACTTAATTAAAAAAATCTCCCTCTGTCTAACAATAAAGTTCTGATTCACTATTCACAAAGTAAAACTTTATTTACTTTATTGGCCTATTTTCGTGTCTTACATGATAAAATAATATAGTCATGTCAACTTTAGTTTTGTAGATCTTTTCATATAGTTTTTAAATATGTAATTTTTTTAATTTCATACCATTTTTCATATAAAATGATTTGAAAATAACTCCAGTCAACCATCGTAACGCACAATGATAACTTTATTTATGGACGGAGGGTGTATTCAAACCTCTAATCATAATTAAAAAAATATTGTTTCCAAACAATACCTATATACATATATATTATTTCTACCTGTTTTACAATATTTTGTCAAACTTTATTCTTGATCAGTCCCAATAAACGCTTGACATTTTGGATTACAAAACTTAACTAAGATTATTTATAATTTCATTAGTTACAGAATTGTAGTAGAAAAAAGTGTATATTTTCACTCACACTGTTTTGCTTTGAGTCTTATCTAAGTTATAGCCATTTAGCCTACTTGAGGAGAGAGGTACAAAAGTGTAAAGAATTGAATGATTCTCCCAAAGACCAAAAGGAGAAGTTGGAAGCTAAGTTAGATTTAAAACAAAGCAAAAATGCATTAAATGCACATTCTTAATATGTTGCGTGTGAGTCAATCAAATAAGCACTTATCAAAGAATCCAATAGGTTACTTTTTAATTAGTGGACTTTATTAAACTTTGACATTTACCCTATGTTTATAAGAAATGATTTATAATGCCAAAATGATGTAAAATATTATTCATTAAATCTAAAAAAACGATGAGCCTAATTTTCGATGGCCCCTTCAGATCCGACCAGGCGGTCACTGAGAGAAGGTAAATTGGATATTCATTGAATCTAAGACCGTTCAAGTATGTAGATCAAACCAAGTTTTAAAAAAATTAAATTCAATTGATTATTTCTTTCAGTTCAAGATCTTGTATACAAACATATTTATAAATAATTACGATCACTGTTTCTTGCTATATCACAGACGTGCCGGACAGCGCGGTTATAATAAGGAAGCACACCAAGGCATCAAACCACTTCTCATGCCTCATGTTCAATGAGCTTGAAGCATTCAACCCAAGAGACCAACTTGCATTTGCTTATGTAAGAGACTTGATGAACCCTAAGCCAAGAATCAACATGTTTGATGCTGAGGTTCTTGAGCAGGTGGCTGTTGAGTACAGGCACAACCTTAAACATGGTGGTGGCGCATCATCAGCACCACAACAAGTGGGTCCCACTGTCAAGATGTCCATTGGTGGGGCCAGCTTCACCAAGTGTGATAGGTACTTTTTGAAGATGTGGGGTGAATCCAATGATTGATTTTTGTCTTACCATTTCCTCAATCTTCTTTTGGAAAATTGGGACCAAGGTTTGAATTAAGCTTTTTTTTTTTTATCAAATGTAAAGAAGAATCAACATATATAAGTACTCTACTTGTGAGCAAAAGCAAAGGAATGAATACATGTTTGGCTAGATTTGTTTCATTTTTTAGGAATCTTAAGATTAAATTGGTTGGGTAAATTTGTTGTCAGTTTTTTCTGATTTTTGTTTTCAATTTTTTAAATTTCTTTTTTTTTCCAAATACTTTTTTTTTAATTTTGAAACTTATATTATTTCTTTCATATTTCGAAACTCCTATATTATTATATCCCCAATCTCACTAAACAAGCCCTTAAAAATACTCTCTTTGTCTTGAACTTATCGTCATTCGTCACTGTTATTATATTCTGGACTCTTGAAATTTTTTGTTTGTTTGTACGTTTTCATTTACCATTTGATACATAAAATATTTATGACACATCTTAGTTTGTTTTAAAGAAATTTTTATGTAGTTTTAAAATATGTAATTTATAGCTTTTATTTTTATATCAATTTGTAAATAAATTAATTTTAAAATTGATGCAAAAAAATTATTTACAATAATTTTCCTAAACACTATTGAAAAACAATTTTTGAATTACATCATTGTAGTTTATGGATTCTATTACAATATAATCCCTCCGTCCCTAAAAGCATGAGAGGTTTTGTTTTTTAAGTGATTTAAGAGAAGTTTATTTTGGTACTGAATTTCCAAAAATGCCATTGATAGATAAGAGTAGGATTTAATGGGTAGATTAATAGTAAATAGATGTGATAGGTAAGTTAAGAATTAGTAGGGGTAAAAGTGAGTTATTAATACAAATAAGAAAAGTTTTTTGGAACGGATGAAAAAATAAAGGAAAAAGGTTTTTAGGCACGGAGAGAGTAATATTTATTTGTCTTTTCTTGGTCTAATGATGTAGTGAATCTAAAACTTATGCTAGAAATCTTTCCCCAAAATCCCAAGTCAATGCTATGAAATTGACCTTTTTTATTCCCTCTATCCCGAATTGAATTTTTTAAATCTGTTCACAAAATTTGAACAACTTTACATTTAATTTATTTTATTTGATTTTATGTGAAAAATTATAAATTAAAATTTGTTTATTAAAAACTACATAAAAATTTATAAAATAAAAGCTGACATTTTTATTTTATATTATTTGTCTCATCATGAATAATGCCTAAGTAATTTTTTTGGGATGAAAAGAAGTTTAGAGGTATAAAAGAAATTTTCTTAAATAGAAGAAAAACATAGCAAAATATCAAAATAAGAGCTTCATGTTTTTATCCTCAATTTAAAAGTTTGTATTGTGGTAATGTGATAATGTATATGAACATTTCATAATATTTTGGTAATGTATATGATCATGATTAGCATTGTAAATACAATTAATTCTTATTCCAGAAATAAAAACACAGAACTCCTATTTTGATACTCCGATCCCTCTGTCTCTACTTTGATTACAAAATGGGAATTACGATGTAAAATTCTACGATTTTTGAAAATTATTCTAGTTACAAATTGGTAGTTTGGTACACTAATCAGAAATAAAAATTATATTTTAAAAAACTGTGTCCAAGGTTCTACCAAATAAGAAGGGACAAAAATATTTTATTTTACTAAATAATCAATGAAAACACACAAATAAACTAAAGTTATCGAGAGGAGAGAGAAAATAAAATTGTAATCAACATGGAGACGAAGGAAGTATATATTTTTAATATTTTATCTCTTACTTTAATCTTTTTTTCGAAATAGAATCTCATAAAGTCAAAGCTATGAAATTGACTTTTTTTTACAACTCACCTAAACGGTTGCCGGAAAAAAAAGAGCAGCGGCCGCGCCAGCTGAGCGAAGAAAAATTATCCAATTTCTAGCAAATCCCCGGCCGCGCGAATTCTCTCCCTCTCTCTAGATTCTTTCACTTCTATTCTTCCTTTTGTCCGTTTCAAAGCAGGGGAATTTATACGTTATCGGAGAGAATCGGCGCCTCTGGCTGTTGATTTGATCCAGAGATGTCGAAATCCTTGCCGTATTCGATGAAAGACTTGCACTATGACAACGGAAAGTTCCGGCATCGATCGGCATCCAAGGTCAGCTTATTTGCATTCCATGGTTGCCCATGTCGATTGATTTCGTCCTTTATTATGTTAATTGCGAATTTACCAAAATGTTTAAAGTTTGAGCTCATCCGATTTCAATTTTTCCTTGTTCATCTGATTTCGAGTGAGGAATATGTTTGAAACTTCGTTCATCGGTTGATCTACTTAGGAAAGAGCTGAATTTGTATTGTGCACGGTAGATGTTCGTGAATAGAATATATAAGCTTGAAAGTTGAGATACAGTGCAAAGCAGTAAGAGAAATATGAGATTTGGTGTTCTGCAGATTTCTTTTGCACCAGTAGCGGTTTACTTGTTCAGTTGAAGTTTTGGTTTTATAAGATCGATCCCTTGCCTTCAAAGAACTTTGTTTTTCTTCGTAATTCTGTAGCAGAATATATGTGAAAGTTTTTCAGCTGTCAACCGTAGATGCATCTTGGGAAGTTCATTTAGTATTGCTTGGCTAAATTCTAGCCGTTTAGTATTGCTCAGAAAACTATTGATGATCTTGCACCAAGATAAAAAGATGGTTCAAATATATGAGCTTTTTATCTTCAAATGAACATTCTAAATCTCTTTATAGAAGGTATGAATTTTTTCATTGTCAACCATAGGCATATCTTGGGAATAATTTCACATTTTCCTATAGCTAATAAGTACTATTCCTGTGCAAAATTGAGTCCTTAATGATACTTAGACAAAGTAATAGATGTAAGTTTCTTATTTCCCTTTATAAATTGCACCGATCTTTTCTTGCTGGTGCTCTGATAATTTGCTATATGTCCTTGCCTCTTCACAAATTTCTTTGAATTTTCTCAATGTATACAGGCAATTTCTCAAGCGCTCTTAACCAGTAAGGTTAACCGCAATTTTGTAAAATGCAGCACAGGGAAATTTCTAGGTTTATTATTGATTGGTGGTTTAGTATATCTCATGATGACCCATACCAGCGCCCATTATTCTGGATCTCAAGATATTGCAAATGATAGTGAGTCGAAGGAAGAAAAGAACTTCATAGTCAATGGAACAAATCGACTTAAACGTCTTTTGAGAAGACCTCCCAAGCTCCCTCCTAGATTATCACCAGATGAAATAATTCTGAGCAATACATCTACACATGAGAACATGAACTCAAGCGCTAATTCCAAATGGTTATCAAAACAGCAAAGAGTGAAGGACTCATTTATCCATGCGTGGTCTGGGTACAAACGCTATGCAATGGACTATGATGAGCTTATGCCACTGAGCCACAGGGGAGTTGATGGTTTGGGAGGTTTAGGAGCTACAGTTGTAGATGCTTTAGACACAGCTATGATAATGGGACTCAATGAAATTGTACAAGAAGCAGGCTCGTGGATTGAAACACATCTTCCTGAGAGGCTAAACATGAAAGGCCAAGTAAATTTATTCGAAACTACAATACGTATTCTAGGTGGTCTTTTGAGTGCTTATCATTTGAGTGGTGGGGAAGAAGGAGGCAATCCATTATACAAGGGACCGAAATCAAATATCTATCTGGAAAATGCCAGGAACTTGGCGGATCGTCTTCTCACTGCTTTCACATCAAGCCCATCTGATGTCCCCTATAGTGATGTGATTTTGCATGAACGTTCTGCCCATCCTGCTCCTGACGGGCTGAGCAGCACAGCTGAAGTGGCATCTTTACAGCTTGAATTTAATTATCTCAGTTTTCTAACTGGTGACCCAAAATATAGTACAGAAGCCATGAAAGTTTTGTAGCACATTAGAACTCTCCCAAAACATGAAGGACTTGTCCCCATATATATCAAGTAAGAATTCTGTTCAAATCAAAATGCAAGCATCAACCTCTAAATCTAATGATCATTCAATGCTCTCTTGATAGTTAACACATATTCAAAACTGACTCTTAATTGAGAACATAAATAGTCTCTCTTGTGTCACTTATTAAAGACCGGAGAGGGTACCTTCCAATTTTAGATTCTTATAGGTGCAATGCTAGAATTTACTTCTGAAGGAGCCCCTATAGCTTAAATTTAGCAGGATAGATTTAAACATTATGCGTCTGGATCTTAACACCCGGTTGTGATTTATTTGTATTGATCTTCTTGTGACGGCAGCCCTCATTCAGGAAAGTTTAGTGGAGAAAATATTAGACTTGGATCTCGCGGTGACAGCTACTACGAGTATCTTATTAAAGTTTGGCTTCAGCAACAAGGACAAAACTGTTCATACTTGTATGATATGTATTTGGAAGCAATGAAGGGTGTTAGGCACCTTCTTGTGAGGAAATCTGTTCCAAACGGGTTGGTGTTTGTGGGAGAATTGCCTTATGGGCCACAAGGTGGCTTTGTTCCAAAGATGGATCATCTGGTATGCTTTTTTTAAAAGCTTTTTGACTCAATTTTGAAAGAATAAAAAAGTCCAAAGTGGTCAATTGATCAACAGTTGGCTACAATTCTGCCATTTTTATCTCTTTCATGCATAAGAGGCTAAGTTGTGTACATGTGTTTATTTTCTCAAGATTTTCTACATTGGTAGCTTCAAGTATCTACATGTTTATGACTTTTTTATGCAATGTTACTTATGCTTCCATATATATTTAAAAAAACCAATGTGGAAATTATGTCATATGCTTGTTCTATCTTTTTGTGTATTTGTTTATTTATATCTAAAGACTAGTATTTCATGCTTAAAAAGTAATTTATGGCATATAATTATGGATGTGACAATGAATTCTTTAATCTGTTATGAATTTCTTCCATTATGATTTTGAGGGCAATGTTTGAGAAGTGCTAGGTTCCTTAGAATGTAAATTATATGATGTTGGTTGTCGAGAAAGTTGATGTCTTTAGTGAGATGATTTCTTAGCACACATTTATAACCATAGATCTATGAGGGAAGCTTTTGAGGAAAATCACTAATGCTATTTCTGAAGTCCACCCAACAGCCAAAAACTGAAAAGCAAAAGAATATTTAGATTTTTGAATTGTGGTTCTCGCGGTCTGGAGTGAAGGCCTGTACTAGTTTTGTTTATTTATTTTTCTTGATATTACCCTCTGCCATTTCAATCATGCTTTGCAAATTACATTGTCACTACTGTAGTATGGTCTGAAATAACTTATTTCATTTTCATGGATATTTTTAAAAACATTATCCTTGGTTTCTCATGAGGTTGTTATCCCATGACCTTACTCTTTTAGGTTTGTTTCCTACCTGGTACACTGGCTATTGGTGCCACAAAAGGTGTTACAAAAGATAAAGCTATGAGGGAGAACTTGCTCAATTTTGAAGATTTGGAAAATCTCAAGCTTGCAGAAGATCTGGCCAAAACATGTTTTGAAATGTACTCTGTGACCTCCACTGGGCTTGCTCCGGAAATAGCATATTTCAATGAGGTTAGTTCGATTTGAAGTCAATCAGTCATGCCAGCACTTATTCTCAACTCTCTAAATTTCTTTTCTCCCTGTGCTTTCCTTTCTATGAAAAGTTTATGGGTTGTGATTCATGCTAATTTGACGTAACTCGGATTTTTATTACTCCACTGCACTCAAAATATTTGTGCCAAATAACTATCTTATGCCCATTTTTACCTCCTGGGTAAACAACAACCACAACAAGAACAAGAATACGAATATATGATGATGATGATCCATAAGTATTGCAGAGTATCATTATCATTATTGTTGTTGTTGTTGTTCTTATTATTATTACTGTTATTATTATTAATTATTCCAAATTTATGATATCCCTTTCTAAGCAGGGACATTCTGGGGGTGGTTCTGATGGTGGAAACAAGAATTCAAAATATGTGAATGACATAATCATAAAACCAGCTGATCGTCACAATCTCTTGCGTCCTGAAACTGTTGAATCATTAATGATATTGTATCGCATTACTGAAGATCCAAAGTATGCTTTGATACTCATTTCCATATCTCTCTCTCTCTCTCTCTCTCTCTCTCTCTGTGTGTGTGTGTGTGTCTTTTCTCTTGTTTCTTTTTCATCAAATCTCTGGTAATTGTGTTCATCACCTCTACAGATACCGCGAGTGGGGCTGGGAAATTTTTGAGGCCTTTGAGAAACACACCATGCTTGATTCTGGAGGCTACACTTCTCTTGATGATGTCACCGTAATCCCACCCCCGAGAAGGGACAAGATGGAGACTTTTTTCCTCGGCGAAACTCTAAAATACCTTTACTTGCTCTTCGGGGACAGCAACGTCATTCCCTTAGATCAGTTTGTATTCAACACAGAGGCTCATCCCATTCCCATCAAGCCAAACTCATTCCAAACATGAATGAATGCCACACTTTAAAAAAAATGTGTGTGGAAAAATGTATAATTTTGGCCATCTGGGGAAGAAAGAAATGGAGCCTGGGGTTTTTTTACAGCTGAGGTCATGTTTGCCTGTTGCTCTCCTGAGTTTGAGTCATACTGAATACCAAAGGAGGCCATACTGAATACAACTTATTACAGTCTATAGATGTACTATATTGTGTAACTTTTTTTATAGTTTTCTTCCCTTTGTAAAAATTGTGGGCAACCAATATTTTTACTAGTAGGTTCTTTGGTTGGAAAAAATCTTTGCCATTTTGTAGTATTGGTGTAATGATTGTTGATTTTTTTTTTCACACATTTTTTTGGGTTGTTGGAATCAGGACTGACATTGTGGGATATGGGACAGTTCAGGTATGCTGGTGGTCTCTATTCTATTTTCCTAGTTCCCCCTTTGAGTGGGCAGAATATTTTATCTTTTGTACATTCTGCATTTTTTTTAAAAGGGTGTTTTTGGTAAATTCTGTAAAGATTGTTATTGGAAATTAACTACTACGTACAAATAAGTACTACGTAAAAGTGAAAAGTCCATCGAAGACAAAAAGAATACTCCAGATTACTCAAGCTCAACTTGTATCCGTTTCACAATAATTTAAACGTTTAATTTTAGCATTTTAAAAAAGATTATCTAAAGACAACAATATGCTTAACATTTTCAATGTTATTTTACACGTTTAATTTTTTTTTTGCCAAGTGACTAAAGTGAGAAACACATGAGATTTTTTTTCGATGTAGTTTATCCTATCTGTCCCTAAATATGCACACCATGTAAAAACACTCTTTATTGTGTTTAATTGGTCGAGTAATTATAAATCAGAGCGTAATTAATACTCGGTAAAATTGAAGAGGTCCAATTATACTTTCCAATACCAGGAGAAAAAGGTTAAAATTGGTTACTTCAATTACCTCCTACAAAAACATATTCCCTATAAATGCATAATTACACTCTCAGTAACCAAACATGTAAGGTAATTACACAGTGCAGCAATGAAAAAAATACTAAATGTCTGCTCAAATCTTCCTTCAAAAGTTAAAAATCTTATACTTGATTGGGCAAAACATTCCATTTATCTTATAGCTGATAATGAGTGATTGGTTCAAAGTACTTTGTTCCATACATTAATGTGCCACATTAATCACAATTAGCAGAGCTGCATATCATCTTCACTGGAACCAAATACAGTAAATTTAAGCTTTGCCCTTTCCAGCCTGGGAGGATTGAATTCGCTGCTGTAATTTAAAGATCTGCAGTGCACAAAATAATAATTAAAAAAAGAAACATTCAATAGAATTTATGCTGGTGAGTTCATTCCAAATTGCCAAATGTTTTTTACCCTTATCAGTCAGTTAACATTGACAGCACATCTTCGAAAAGCAGTTCATATAAATATGGATTAGGAAACATAAAATAGAGAAGTTACCATTTCTTTCTTGCTGTTCTGCTTATCTTCTAAATCTTGAAGAGTGGCATCCAAACGCTTCCTGTTAGAAAAACTCAATAGTTAGTCTATTAGTGCTTCATAAAATAATAATGATGGAAGCTAAAAAGCACTTATGCAAACCATAGTTAGTGAAATTGTACATTATATATTTGGCCTTGTAGGCTGTCCTGTTTAGCCCCTCAATCATTAAATTTCTAAGACCAATTCAGCCTGCTTACATAGTTTATAGTCTCATGTTCTTTGGATGAATGGAGAAGAGAAACAGGAAACACAAATATACACGTGAACTATAAGCCATTAGCATGACAGTGTCTGTCCATTGCCAATGGAGTTAAAAGTCTTCTTTTTTTTCAATTCTTGTTAGCTTCAGGTGAATAATGCACTAATTCAAAATGGCACCTTAAACTTCCCTTGTTTCTTACTTTCAATGAAGTTTTGGGTAGTTTATGTAGCGCAATGCATCAAGGGTCTAATAGAAACAGTCTCTATGTCTTTTTTTACAGAGGTAAGACTGCATACAGTACATCTTGACCCCAGAGGTTCCAACAAAGTTGGGATTATAATGAGTGTGTTGTTGTAGTTGTTGTAGTGTGATAGCGTCTTGCACTCTTGCCCAACAATTCATTCAAAGACTGTCAGTCTCACTTCCTCAACAATGATTCTTTGCATTACTAAGGATGTTTGTCCTCACATGGTCATGGAAGAGATTGGTTAAAAGCCTAATATCCACAAATTCAAAACCACTCATTTAAATGTTAAAAATGTAAAACACCACTAAACATTGACTTTTTCATCTCTAATCTAAAACTTCGTGCCATTCGCCCATTCCAAGCATTAATATATAATGATGTGTATCCCCCATGTCCCTTCTAAGCTCCTTCAAACTGCATGGGTATATGACCCGCAGAGGAGGAATCCCCGCACATCGTCCACCAAAACAGTGTGATGGTCAGAGTAATGCCAGAGCAAAATTCTTGCTTTTGCTTTCGAGAGAGCTTTGAACATCTCCATATTCGACAAGCTCCTGCCCAATTTCTTTTTTGCAAGGAAAGTAAACATCCCCCCAGCACAAGAGACCAAATAAACCATGACCCATATCCCCAAGATCACATGACTAAATTTCCCCAAAAAATTGATGTCCCGGCATAGAGTAGTTTGCCTCCTAATGTTCTAAGGTCAAACTCGCATTGTTGAAGTCTTCAATGACGACCCATGAAGCCAAATGCATATTACAGTGTGAAGACATCTCCCTTCAGCTATCCTTGGCCGCTGGGTTGGGTCTAATGTAGGCAATCAAAACTAGGAGAGAAAACTCAACACCCTTGATTTCACAATGATCCACTTGAGTAGTTGATCACTGTCAAATTGATGGTGATGCTGCCAGGGTTCTTGAGAAGAACAATACCCCCTGCAAATCCCAAATGGTAGTCCATTGGATTACTACTGGCACCCAGATGGTAGTCCATTGCATTTCCCCTGCAAATCACGTCTGTGTATGAACTGGGGGTCTATTAGAAACCTCTATACTTCCAAGTAAGGGTAAGGTCTACGTACACACATCCCAGACCCTGCCCTTTTGGGATTTTAATGGGTTTGTTGTTGGTGGTGTATTTAGTTACTTTTACCATAAAAGCAACTTTTTGAAAACACGCCTAACAACAACTACATAGGGGCTATTTGGGCTAATGCAGCACTTAAGGGAATTGTGAAACACGGGGAAAGGCAGTATAATGAACATGCCTAACTTGGAGGTGTAATACTTCATTAGTTGAACTAGTATTTCTAATGATGTTTAAACTTTAACTTTATTGCCACTAACTAGTACTCTGTAAGTATTATATCATCTACAGCATCTCAAACTCTTTTATTTCCAATCTAACCCTAATTTTTAGTTTTTACAATCCATATATCAGTTGAATTCTCTACCATTTAAATGAGCAATGGTCAATCATGCCAGAACAACAGTTAACCTAAGGTTAGAGTAGCTTAAGTCATTGCTAAAACAGAATAACTCAGACCACCCCAGAAAAATATAAAAAGCACACAACTACAAATGTAACCGAAACATATAATTGAGACAGCTTAATAAGTATCCAAAACTACGCTCCTATGATTTTTTGTTCTTTTTACTCCAATTTAGAGTTCAGTTGGTAGCACGATGTTCTCTATACAGTTTCAGTTGCCTTCAGGCAGGCTGCGGCAGACAAACTTAAGCTATCAAAATTGTGAAACATAAAAGGGTTCCATGCTAGAACTACAGATCACAAATCAAAGATTTAGAACTTCTCCAATAAACTATCCTTGAATCACAGAGTCAGCCTGAAAATTAACGAATGTCAACCCCACCAAACTTAACAAACAATTTTCTCTTTCCCTAAACCTAATATATGGCCCTCTCCCTTTATTACTTATTCTAACTATCATAGTTCCAACCTCTCAACTATCTACAAAACCGTGCCCGAAAATATCGCGCATTAACCCATAAGGAACGGAAAATGCACTTAGAGAAAGTTAGTTGATTCAATTTTCAATCTAGTATGTCAATTGAGAAGAACAAACACCTAAAAGTTAGAAACCCAATTCACAATCAGCATGTTTAATGCTACAAACATAACAAGTAACATACAATTCGGCCGAGATGTAATCAATTCGCTTCTTGACATTGGCCCTAGCCTCCGCCAGGTCCTGCTTCACCAGAACCGGCCCAATCAGTTTGTACACATTCGCATCTTCATCCAACAGATCCAATTCCTATGTTGGCAAATTCAGAAAAAGAACACAATTGGTATTAAACACTAGCGCCGAGAAAATTACATTTAAATAAATAAATAAAGCTCCGACCTTGACGACAAGCTCGTTTTCGCCGAGCTGAATGGTGTATTTCTTGCGGACTTGGTGGTTCTTGGCTATATCTGAAAGACAGAGCAGATAATTGAGAGCATAAGTAGAGAGACGATGATTAGGGTTTATTCCAGGGGAGGAAAAGATTTGCCTTTTTGAAGTTGGCTGAGATCGTTCGCTTTGTTTTCTAGGTCACGCTGCATCTCCCGTAGGGCTATGGAGGACGACGCCATCTTTAGCTGATTCACGGCGACGCAGGCAAGCTGCGCTTTGTTTGCTATTCTTGCAGGGTGAAGAGGATGAGTGATTTTATTTGGGGAAATAATTCCAAAGAAAATAACACTAGGGAAAAATTAAAATTAAGTAAAATTAATTAGTATGCCACCATAATATTTTTATGTCATTACTTATGTTAAGATATTTTATTGAGACTATACTATGTCTTGAGACTTTTAAATCGACCAAATCACTCACAATAATTTCAAATATGTTTAAAGAGTCATACCTTGTTCGGAGTGTCAATTCACCAAAATTTTCATCATATATGCTTAATGTATTTTTTAAAGATATTGTATTGAGACCATATTATGCCTTGGGACATCCACATTGACATTGTCTGAATCAACCAAAGCACCTTCAATAGTTCCAAATATGTCTTAAGAGTCATATCTTGTCTGGGGTGTCAATTCACCAAATTTAGATCATATGTGCTTAATGTACTTTTGTTACATTATTGTATTGAGATCATATTATGCCTTGAGATTTGCAAAATCGATAATATTCTTAAGATATTGGATTCCAATCTCATGGAGTGACATTAAAAGTACATACGATACCCGATTCGTAAAAGCGTTTGTTCCTTTCCCCAATCCCTCTAATAAGCCCCTACTTCAACCCAACATGAACCCCACCCCCTTTCCATTTAGTTACATCCATAAAATTTTACTTTGGAATAAGATAATTAGAGTTTGTTTCAACCTATTCTTTTTACTTAGGTCATGTTCTATTCACTTGATCTGGCTGGTTCTGATATGATTGGAATACGTGTTGATCTTGTCTGATTTGATCTGAATGTAGTTATATTTAAAACTATTTTTGATCTGATATATTGATCCGATTCTAATAAGGATAAGTAATAAGTAAAAAAAATAAGTTGAGGAGAACATGACCTTATTCCCTCTCTTTGAGAAAATAATTTCTACATTGACTTTGGACAAAAGTCAATATATTATGCTCTTTATATGATTAGTGAAAAAGAATGATCTGCTAGGGAGGGTAAGATTCAGTAGGGTAGGAATGATTTTTTTAATAAAAAGTGACACTATTTTAGTGAAAGGAAAAAAAGAAGAAGAGTATTGGTAAACTTGAGTATTACATATTTTAATTGGAATCAGATCAAAAATAGCTCCAAATGTAACTACAATCAAATTAGATCAAATCATATCTAATTGGAGCTTAATCAAATCATATAGATTTAAAAGAACAAGATCTTAATGTATGGTCAGCTATACCATTTGATCGGTGTGGGTCTAAAATCACTCACATTGAGTGGCTACAGACAACACTAAATCTAATGGAGACACTTACAATACAGACAATTTGATTCCCACATCTCTAACCCCCATCGTGAACTGACTCAAACCCACCTTCCATCCCTATTAATTATACCCCAAAATTAGTTAACTTTGATGTCAAATTTTTATAACCTGAAAGCCAATTAATTTTATGGGTGCAAATGAATGGTGTAATGGTGGATTTGAGTGGGCCTACAGTGGCGGGTTAAGGCCGCACGAATTATCAATTTTATAAATGTGGCAATGTAGTTGCTCCAATTGGAACTAAATATCCTCCGGAGCCACTCAAAGGAGACAACTTTGGAACCCCACTGCTATCTTGCAAGGCGTTGTTTGGGAATAACATTTTCATTAATATTGGTGTTTTGGATAAAATTTTAATAGTATAGATTAATTATGAAAACACTAAAGGTCACTGATAGTCTTTTCAAAATGCTAACGCCAACAAGTAATGTTGATGTTAAACTGTGCCTAAGTTTATTTTTAAAAAATGATTCGATCAAAATAATGTTTATTGGAGTAACTTTTTTAGAGTATATGTTGTTGGATATATGAATTTATAGTAACACAAATCTTTAATTTTGACACTATTTGATGGTGTAAATTTGACTGCATAGCTTTGACCAAGTCTGACATGATCAAAAGGACTATACCAGGTAAGGAAAACACACAAGAAAGTAAGAACACAAGAGTTTTCTAGACTATGAGAGAATTCATGCGCTCGAAGTTATATTTGTGACTCTATCTCCAAATTGAACAAGTTTGTATTAGAATGATTGAATCTCCACTCCTAACTCTATTACAATCTATTTATATAGAGTGAAGGAGGTCAAATAAGATAACTAGCTGTGGTTAAGCCGCAAGCCTAATATCATTCAACATCCAAACACGGAAATAACCTCTTGACCTGACACTCATTAATTAATTCAAGTATTAATGAGCGTCAATCTAACCATCAATTGCGTTACCCAAACGTTGTATGATGGGGCTGAACCTTTGCTCCGCAATATAATTAACTCTCGAAAAAGGCGGAGTTAAAGTAGTTGAGCCAGGCATCACGTTATTCCCGTAGGTCTGGCGTCTTTGATATCCAGTCGGGATCATCCAAAGAGTTGTCTTCTGGATAGTCTTCTCTGCAAAAGACATGCAAATAGGTCTATGCTAAAAATATGATCGGTCACCTTCGCAGAACATGACCGGTCACTTTATGAAGTTTGATGTGTGACCATTTCAAGACTAGTAAAACTTGAAATGCTACTTTTATCTAAAACTTGACCGGTCACTTCTGTAGAAATTAACAGTAGCGTTAACGGGGTTGAACGATTATTTAGATACTCCCTCCGTCCCAAAAAGATCGTTACGTTTCATTTCTTTGCGCATCACAAAAAGCAACGCTACTCACATCTAAAAATTCTAAAATTTACCATATTTATTCTTTATTATAAGATGAAATTGTTTTGAAAGTTTTTTTGGCATTTGAGACGATATTAAAAAATTTTAAGGGATGCGCAAAAAATGAAACGTAACGATCTTTTTGGGACGGAGGGAGTATAAGTTATATCAATCACTATTTGTTTGAGAGACATGCAAAAAATAATGATTGTATATATATATATATATATATATATATATATATATATATATATATATATATATATATATATATATATGCAAATCAAACAATGATTGTGTTGTGCCAAACTTTAATAGAGAGTACCAAAGTTGCTGTGCCTATTAATTGCACATTTGCACGGTTGATATTTCGCTACGCATTTACTGTTTTTTTACTCCGTAATTTTTTGATCTTTTTAATTTTTCTAAATAAGAATTATAGAATAGAATATTTTAAATATGGAAATTATTTCAAGTGTTGAATTAAATTGCGTGTCAATGGATCTAAAATAAGTTTTGTAAAGTACAATGCATGTAGGATATACCACGTACTCCATAGTACTCGTATATAAACTATCTTCTTTATTATCAAGTGACCAACAATTAGTTAAGATCAGAGGGAAATAATTCCATTAAGAAGATGGGTTTAGTTGACCGCAAGGACTCCAATGGAGGCACTCTCATGCTTACTACTCTATGTGTAGTTATGATGATGATGATGAATCATCTTGCAACCGGTAGGCTACATCATATATTCACCAATTCATCTAAACCCCCAATTATGCAAACCTCCAATTATGCATTTCTTTTAATACATACGGAGTATAATCTTTATATATTACACATTAAAAAATAGATGAGAAAGAATGGTCTTTACTGCGAGAAATTAGCTAGAATGGTGCATTTTTATTTTGTTACGATACATTTTTACATTGTGGTAGTGCATTTGGGTATTTGGGTTGACATTTTATTAGCCATGCATGTTTTTTATCAAAATGTTAACCATATTTGGGGGGTTTCGGGAATGATTTTGGAGGAAAATAATTAAAAACTTGGATGTTGGAAAAAAAATAAGGAATTGAAAGAAATTGGAAGAAGCAAGGAGAAATTCGAAGGAGTTGAAAAATGTTTGAAAAAATAAAGTATTAAATTATTCAATTAAATGATTATCCAAATAAATATATAATAAAACTAATTTTATATTAAAAAAGAGAAATCATCATTGTCCATGTTTGAGATGATATATTATGAATTTGCATATAAAACCTTATTGTATACTCATCACATGTAAATAATATTTTTAAGTCATTATTATTAGAAGAAATTAGAAAAAATTGAAAGAACATCTCTCATACTTTAAGTTGAGAAAATTCATAGTTGATGCACCCACAAAGTTATTTTCATTTCTTTAAGGTTTGGCGGTGAATGGCGGGAAACAAAATGTGCTGCTTGATCCGAATTGGCCGTGTGGTACGGATATACCATGCAAAACTGATTCTGACTGTGTCATCCCGTGCAAGGATCGTGGCGGTGGGAGTTGCCTCAAATTCGACACGGATCCTTATTATTATTGTTGTTGTTGATTTATTATACGGAGTATATGAAATCCAAACCAAAGGGATGTACTCTTGGTTTGTTTATTGGTTAAAAGTATTTTTGTCCAAGTTTATATGTCCAGATTAATTTTTTTGAATTAAATTAGATGAACTTTAAACCTCATCAATTAAATTAAACGGTAATGCGTATTAGTATAAGAATTATTGCATTAGACTAATCTTGTTGAAAACTTTCAAAATTTTATATATTTTATTGTATAAATATGCAGTACTAATTGAAAGTAATTGGTGATTAAAATTTGTCCTTTTTTACTTGAAAAAGTCAAACTGAACGGATACACTGAGACAGAGGGAATACTTTATTAGTTACTGATAACTCGGGTTTGGGGTAATATTTTTTATTCTCTTTTTGGCATTTTTAGTATTTTTATTGTTTAATTTTCATTTGTTTAGCTTAGTTTTATTTTAATTCCTATTATTACAAACCTTTTAATTCCATTCAAAAATAGTTGTTTTTAATCATTTTTAACATGTTATTATTTTAATATTATTATTTTTCCTAACCCAAGTTACCAGATATCCTATTTGTTTTGGAATAAATTGCAGTAAAAGGCCAAATTGAAGCTCAAGTTTGAAAAGAGAAGATTGAGTTTGGACCGGAGCCAAACCCATCATCAACAACTCAATTAAACAAAGATAAGCCCAAGTCTCCTTCCCTCAATTCAAACTCACGCAAGAAGAAAAAAAGCTTCGTGCGATTGAAGCTAGCGCAAGACCAGGAGAGGAGCAGCGACCTATTCAAATCGGCAGTAACGCCTCTCCTTCAACGTTCGGCCATGAATTGCTCTCCAAATCAAGTCAACAACGGCTCCTTGTT